ACGTTCATTGGCTGACGCATGGTGGAACATTGCTTTGGGTGGTGGGACCTCTTCAAAGGAACAGAGTAAAGTTATATGCATGCGATTAACATTAGATAATACAACAAAGAAATTGAGCCGGCCCTTTGAGCCCCCCTTCACACCAAAACGCCGTGGATATCATGCAGTGCCCATAGTCATTCAGTCGTTAATATTTTGTGTCGGTCCAGCTCACGAGGCCCTGGTCTCCCGCAGAGAGAGGATGTAGGGCAGATCAGTCGAGTCCGTCCGCGTCGCGAGTCTAATGACGGAGCCCGAAGCGGAACTTCCTGATGCCCTCGACCGCAAACTGACACTAGATGACGAATGATTCGGACCATACGCCGGCCGAGTCTGGGCGAAGCTATTCATGCTGGAGGATCTCGATATGGCTCCTCGTAATGTACCCAGCGGGGTAGCCGGCGCGGTGCGATATTGAGCCCACGTATTTGCAGAGGAGTTGCGCGCGTTGACGGTCGGCGCTCTCCTAGTATAAGAGCCTTGTGTGCTCTGTGTCGCAGACCGGGATAAGCTGCGTGGAGTGGTAGGATTTGTGGCCATGGGCGCATCATTGTCGATGTCGCTTTCTGAGCCTTCGCTGGGCTCGTCCAAGGGACCGAGGACTGCCGGATCTAGCGGTCGCATGCCGCGCAGTATCGCAGCAAACAAATGCATCAATTCGCGAAATTGGGCGTTCGAAATAGCCCGCGTAGAGAAGCGCGCATGTTCGTAGGTGGAGAGGAAATCGGCGGTCGTCGCATTAAGCGAGATTACCCCCAGCTCAGCAAGGTGGCCAAGGTAGTCGCGCAGACTCATGGGTAACGGGCGCTGCAGCAAGGCCACCGCATCGGCATCGAGCATCGGTGGTTGACTGAAAGAGGTCGGATCGGGAGGCGCCAGTGTCAGGGCCTTTGCTTCGATGAGATTCGGGAGCTCGGAGAGGACGGTGCTGTACTGTAGATCCGGGAGGTCTAGTGAGTTGGGCGATGACCAGCCGTAGTGTTCGATCTCGCCCCAAACCGGTCTTCGAGGAGGTAGCGCAATGCCAGTCTCCTTTTCTGTTGTTGCCGGCTTTTTCAAGGTCGGTAGCTGAAAGCGTTTCCTTGCCGCGCTACCGCCAGAGTTCTGCTTTTCGACCAGTACCTCCTCCATATCGCCACCCAACAAATTCGTCTCAATGCGCGGCCTTGCGTCGTAGGCAATGGCTGCGCTGCGCTTCAGGTCGGCTGTGATCATTTCGTGAACCTTCTTGTTCACGTCGCCCTTCTCAATAGGAACCCATGGCTTCGGTATTGATGCGAGGATCGTCTTGTTGAGATACAGTCGCGTCGCGTAGATGAAGGATACGATTAAAGTGGTGAGGACCAGAGCGGCGGCAATGATCCATATGTTATATGGCTGGTTGTTCGAATAGGCCTGGTAGATGGTGTCGCCGGGGGTGACGAGGAGGAGAAGGGCGAGGAGGAAGCATAGGACGAAGTAGAAACTTCCATAGATAAAACGGAATATCGCTCGTGGGGAGAACATCGGGGGCGATTCGAAAGGGTTTCCCAGCGTTGAGGATTCAACCCGGGAAGCGACGAGAATGCTGGTTGAGGATCATGGACCGACGGGCCAGTGCATGAGGTAATGGAGCAAACTGGAAAAGCATGGCTGGGCGGAAGAAAGAAGCCTATGCGACGAGGGAGAATGTAGCTGTAGCTAGGCTAAGAAGAGCCAGTGTGAAGTCTAGACATTACATAGGGGAGAAAAGGGTATAGTACGGTGGAGGGAGAGAATGGAGGTTGGTGAATATGTAAGTAGACAAGAAAAAGGTGGAGGTTGCGCACGCAGATGCGTGAAGGTGACGACGAAGAAGATGACGGACGGGGGAAGCGAGAGGTTGGTTGGGGGGCTTTCATTTTGTTTTAGCAGTGCCTTCCCGGCCACAAAGCAACAAAGCTCAGGTGGGGGTTCCTCCATGCGGACCCCTGCTGATTTTTAGGTGGGCTTTCTATGCTCTAATCCAAAATCCGGTTTAGCGGCACCAGCGGGAAGGCGGCAACGGGCACTAACTTTTCTACATTCCAGGCGCTCAAAGACAGATGCACAATGGGATGGGACGGAATGGGAAGAGAGGGGAGTCTTCGGAATGGAGGAACCTATTTTTTACCTGCCGTGACGCCGCGTTGGCCTTGGGAAAGGCATAAGCCCCATGACTAAGAAAAGGTAGCGTCTGCTGTCTTACACGTGCGCCAGTACCCAGTCGCGGGCATCCAATCGTCTCGTATCATTGCTCTCGACTAGCTCAAACCGATGAGCTGACGCAGGCAAGGCCGGTTTGTGCGCCTCACTTAACATGTGATGAGACCGTCAATCAGCCCTTCTGTTGATAAAACCATGATGTTGCTGCAATGTTTCACTGCCTCGTGAAATCTGACTATGATACACGTCGTTATGCCGTTATGCGTGCCTGTTTTGCCTACCAAACGCCCCTCACAAAGTACGGTTGTACCGTGACACCACATATGCCAAAGCCTGTGACTAGCGGGCTTGCTGCATCTCGGGTCCTTGGGATCTGACTTCACTCGTGGGAAGTATTTGTTGGGCTGCCGCCTCCTTGGCCAGTCTGATATCCGTGCGAGTCAACCTCAAGTCGCTGCTGTATCGTTCAAACTCCGCAATCACTTGGGCCAAGCCCGTCTTCAAGGCTGCAATCACTGCTTCCACCTCGGGCGCAGTTCTATCCTTCTCAATATCGGTCCAGTGAACGGGAAAGCTGTCCTTGAATGCCTCAATCTTGGTGATGACGGTTGTAAAGGTGCGGATGATGGTAGGAACATCCTTTTGTACCCTGCCGTAGTTATCATCATTGAGACTGTGAACGGCCAACAAGCTGAGCACATCAACAGCGTTGACGTACTGGCTCAGTTCTGAGTACGGCGTTCCGAGGATAACGGCGGTGAGGCGGTTGCGGAACTCCTGGCGGAATATCCAGCCAACGTACTCGTTGCCAATAACCTTCAGCGCCCATGTCTGGAACTGGTTCATCAGTTGAGGAGAAGACAGCGCCTCTTGCTGCTCCTTGCTCAGAACCTTGTCACGCGCCCCGCGCAGCGTCTTCTTCGCGATAGGGCTCAGCTGCGACACTGGTGAATGGCCGGGGTGGCTTCCCACCTGGGTGAGGGCCTTTTCCAGCTCGCCGCGCATCGTCTTGTTCGCGGGCTTGCTAGTGAAAATAGGGTCCTCCTTCAATGGCGCTGAAGACCGAGCTCGGACTTCCGCAGTTGGCGCTGGGGCAGCCGGCACAGCCGCGGGCTTTCCGTACTGATCGATTCTTTGTTCGATACTCTTGATGGTAGTCAGGCAGTAAATGAATATCTGAGACCACGTAGAACCATCTTTACGGTCGATATCCATGAAGATGGCCTTGCGTCTGCCTTCTTCGTTACGAGCAATGTATGCCAATTCCCAGAGGGCAAAGCACTGTCAGTGTTAGCTTGAGGATCGGTGTATGCTGCCTGATTGTACACTTACCCGAACGGAGTCCTTCTTGCTCTTAAGACCATTCAGAAGACTGCCGTTTGGATCCTTGGATTCACTCGTGAGAGGCTTGCCGTTCTTGAGAGGCGCCTTAACCATGAACGTCGAAAACGCATGATTGGCTGTCTTCCAGATGGCGGTGATCAGGAAGCCAGCAACCGCGCATCGGAACATCAAGTAGATGTCTCCGGGCCACTGAGGCGGAAGCATGTTGGTTTTCGGAAGGTTATAGAAAGGTCGCAAGAAGAACAAAGCCCAGCCCCAGAAGAACGATCGCAATGCCATGAAGTATACCACTCCGGCGACAATAGTGGTGCTGATACTTCTGACGCCAGACTGGATAAGGATCGCAGGGACTTCGCCCAAGACCTTATTCAGCGAAGCATCCCCAGAAACCTTGACTTCGCCTCCCTCAGACCGCGCGACATCGATGATGAGCTTGTCTTGGTCTTGGTAGAAGTGGAAAATCGACTGAACAGCGGCGCTGACGGCCATGTAGCAGAAGAAGATCAACGTTCTCTCGTTCACGCGGGCGCGGTCCCCACTATAGTATGTGACCCATCCCAAGTTGGCGCTCTCCGGCAGGGCCCAGAGGTAAACATGACTGAATAGCGCGCTCGAAAAACCGTAGAAGAGGAAAGCCTCGAGAGTATGAATGCTAAAAAAGAATTGCGCGAACGCGTGGAAGGTCGAGTTGGAGGCGCGGGCGCCGACGTGGTACTGGGCAATGCGCAGGATCAAGATCGAGAGACCGCAGGTGAAGAGGAACAGTGTTCGAAAGCCCGCGGGGCCAATGGGGAACCAGGACCAAAAGTCTACGAGAGGCTAGTTAGTTGCAAAGCTTCGCAAGCATGCATCTTCAACGTTCATTACTCACAAGAGCTCCAACCCGAGAGGAGGATGGCTTGCAAATAAGAAATAGCAAGCAGAATAGTAGCGGTAGAGGAAAATCGCCTGTGCAGCGCAGGCTGCAGAAAGTCCTTATACGGAGCCCTTCTGACTGTTGCCGGTGCCATGCTGAAGGTGCATGGTCATCGAGACCGAATGTTTGGGAGGCTGAGGTTTGGCGAGGCTGCACTGGGACTTGTGCCGGAGCCAGGATCTGGAAGTAAATAATGGAAAAATCTCCAGTACAACAACACGCAGCTCCCACTTGAGCTTGCTTGAGGTCCAGGGGACCCGCCCGGCACGCGGACTGAGCCACATGTATCACGTGGAGATAACACAATCAGGCACCACTATTGCGAACAGGAGCTGATTGGACGGAAGGTGGCGCCCTTACGTAGTGTTCCAGCCACAGCCGACGACGACATGCAGGTTCCTGACCATCATTACGAGTCTATCGTCCACAGACATCCTGACTGATACATACTGGCCAAATAAACACATCCGTGAATCACAACGGCGCCGTTCCTTTAGTCCGATTCATTTGTGAATACTTTGCCCTCGAAATTGCAATCATGTCGTACGACCAGTTATCTTCGCTCGAAGCCGGCCGATCGGGTCGTCAAGGCGGATACACCGATGATCCCGAGTTCAAGCAGCTTCAGTCCCAGTTGACCAACAAGATCTTCAACCTGCGGCGCAATATCCAGCAGCTGACTACTGACGTCAACATTCTTGGAACGAAGCGCGATACTCCCCGTGTCAGAGAACGAGTTCACGACCACCTCGAGAAGACCCGCGATCTGTGCAAGGAGATTGGAGATGGCGTCAAGAAGCTCCAGACGTGGGACGATCTGACGGTTCGTACTCCACAGACTACTTGCGCAAAGCCGTATACTAATGAACCGTGCGCATAGAAACAACAAAAGTACGATCAATCCAGAATCTCGACCGACTTCCAAAACGTCCTGCAAGAGTTCCAAGACATCCAGCGCAAAGCACTTGAGAAACAACGAGCGTCCGTCACAGCTGCGCGCGCAGCGACCGAAGGCGAGGGAGCTGATGCGGCGGCTGGATCCGAGGAGCGTCTCGAGCTTCAACAGCAGCAGGAGGTCAGCCGCCTCGCATCACAGGACGAAGTGGACTTCCAGGAAGCGCTCATTGTCGAGCGTGAAGAGGAGATCCGAAATATTGAGCAGGGTGTCGGCGATCTCAATGTGTTGTTCAGGCAGGTGGCTCAGATTGTGACCGAGCAAGGCGAGCAGCTTACTTCCATCGCGGATAACGTGGAAGACGTGCGGGACGATACCCGGGGCGCTCAAATAGAGCTCCGCCAAGCGGCGAGACACCAGAAGGCGGCTCGCAACAAGGGGTGTTGTCTGATGCTCATCCTGGCAGTCATCCTCACCATCATCATTCTCGCAATTGTATTGGACTAGCACGTCATGGGGGTATTGGGGGTTTCTTTATTTGATTGCTGTTTCTACATTGGCGTTGTGGTGGCGTTTCGCGAATATTGTACATCAGGCGCCCAAGTACAGCTAAGGATACAATCTGGGACAGCGTGTCTTCTTTCTCTATCATTGCCATGGCTTTTCTCCCCAAGACTACAACCCCCGCAAGTGGAAGCGCTCGTAATGAGGGGATGGCTTCCAAGGGTCGTGTTTGCCGCGTACTTTATCCATAATCTTGACAGAGATCTGGGAGAAGATCATTGAAGAAATCCAGTAGACAAATATGCCTGCTGGCAATTTGATACAAAGTGCGGGAATCAAGATTGCCGTGAGAAGTAGACCTCTTTGGAGGCGAATTCGCCATCTCAGACCCGGAGGCACATTCTGCTCAGATGTTGAGAGGTTGAATACATACTTCCTCATTTCGCCTCTAGGCATCGTTAACCAGCCCAGAGTGCCCATCAGCATAGCAGGCAACAATATTGTTGGATCGGCTACCGTGAGGTCGGTAAACCATAGCACGCCACCATTTGCCATGCCTTCCGCAACATAGCTTAGTGAATCCAGGTTGCTAGATACAGCATCGGCAGACGAAGAAGCTGCTGCTGATGCCTGTTCCGTAACGGAGGTCGAGGCGACACCGGCTGAAACCTCCTGGTTCTTGTAGTTGCCAGTGAGCAAGGATAGAAGTCCGCTGTTTGCACCACAAAGACGCCTCAGAGATTCAGACATGAGATACCATATGGGCAGGCCGAGTGCTGGGGCCCAAGTCTTCCAATTCTGGGCCCCTAGCTCTTTCAGCATTCGTTTCCGAACCTTGGCTAGTTGTATGGCCCTTGAGAGACGGGTCCCACGAATTACGTGACTCCAGGCGGCCATAAATGGTGCGATTTCTCCCTGTCTTTCAACGACGCGTCTGGCGTAGTATTGAAGCGGTGCTCTGCACAGAGAGATGAGCAAGGCCGAGAACACGATGGTGCCTGTCCAATTTCCCGTCGCGTTCATCGAGTGCAGCGAAACAACTACTTGCGAGGTAGCTTCGACGCTGCTGTTGACGAGCCCGCCTAGACTAAAGTTTCTGGCACCGATTTCTCGTTGAGGTGATCGTGCCGTCCTCGAGACAAGGTGTGGGCGAAGAGAGGCGGTAAGTGGCCTTGCTAATGAGAAACCGATGGATTGGCGCAGGCCGGGTGTGATGGCGCAACGCGCCGCTCTCAGGGAAGCCATGATGAGATGCTTAAATGTTCATCAGAGGGCATGAGAAGGTACACTTTCTTCGAAAACTTGCGGCGCAGGGTAGTGGCCCTTGAAATGAAGGATGCGGGCTGGTCAAGGATCGTTAAGGAGCTGAGGCTAGATTTTGTCAATAGTTGATCATGAGAATATCTGAGTTTACGTCGGGCGTTCAGTGGTCAATTCAGAGCAGCACCAACAGACTGGTGCACGGGCCATTTTGATTCAACGGGCGCGGCTTGAGCGGATCTACAGCTCGCCGGGGCCGGAAAAGACCTGGACCCTTTAGAGGTGGGGGTCGACTGCCCACTGTATTCGTACCGCTGCAGCTTCCCCCGCCCCATTTTCTAGCTTGCAGTACAACCTGGCCAGTTTGCGAGTCCCCTACCTCACCATAGCATCCCACGACGTCAACGGGCAATGCTGAAGCTGGACTTGACCGACGCCCCCTTCGGCTTCGACTCGCCCTCTTTTTTCCACCTCGACACCACCACCGGTTCCCAGGTTTGTCGAAGCAGAACCAAAACCTAATCCTACGAATTCTGCGATCCCTTCACCCCGATGCCCGAAACCTGCTCAGCGCCGTCTGGGCAGACGCCCTTCTCTTTTGGCCTCGATCCCTGGACCCTAGCCTACGTCGTCGTGCCGATCATCGCTTTTACACCGATCGCGACCTACATCATGTTTCCTCTGCTGATGAAAGGCATTGGTTCCCTGCTGGGATGGTACCTACGAAAAAAGACAGAGGGAAGGAGAGCACAGCTTCTGGAGCTCAAGACTGCTGAGCAACAGTCATTCAAGAACACCCAAAAGAGCTCCAGCAGCGGGAAGAACAATGTGCAGGCACAAGCTTCCGGAAGCTCCGAAAAGAAGGACTCAGAATGGACCGGGGTCGTTGGGTTCTTCCACCCTTTCTGGTATGTCGAACGATTGCAAAAGTCGCCAAAAGGACGGTCACTAACAGCACCCAGTAACGCTGGCGGAGGAGGAGAGCGAGTCCTTTGGGCTGCGATCAAGACCACTCAGGAGAGATACCCTAATGCACTCTGTGTTGTGTACACTGGCGACCATGAAGTGAACAAGCAGGCCATGCTCGAGCGCGTCAAGGTTTGTCTCCCACCGTAGAACCCCTCTTTCCTCATACTAACGACATGTCTCAGACCCGGTTCAACATCGACCTGCATCCCCCGACCATCAACTTCCTCTACGTCAGCACAAGACACCTCGTTCTGGCCTCGACATGGCCTCACTTCACCCTCCTTGGACAATCGATTGGATCTGTAGTGTTGGCATGGGATGCCTTCCAGCTCCTTGTCCCTGACATCTTCATTGATACTATGGGCTATGCCTTCTCCCTGGGTTTGTGCAAGTTGCTCTTTCGCAGAGTTCCTACTTGTGCCTATGTTCACTACCCGACAATTTCGACTGATATGCTGGAATCACTGGACCCCAAGGCCGAGACTGGAAGTCAGGGCGTCAACGCCGGCAAAGGCGTTGGTATCCGAGGCAAGGTCAAGAAGTTCTACTGGAAGATGTTTGCGGCCTTGTACTCCCGGGTTGGATCTACTGTTGACATTGTCATGACAAACTCGACCTGGACCCAAGGTCATGTCCAGAAACTCTGGGGCCCCTACCGCCAGGCCAAGGGAAGGAACAACCCTATCGCTGTCAACTTCCCACCATGCGCTGTCGAGGAGCTTGAAGAGGCAGTAGAGGTATCCGAGGCCAGTGAGCGGAAGCGAGAGCAGGCTTTGGTCTACATTGCTCAGTTCCGCCCCGAGAAGAACCATACCCTGGTCATTCAAGCTTTCGCCGACTTCCTGAACACCAAGTCCGAAGCCGCCAAGGAGGCGAAGTTGGTCCTCATTGGTAGTGTCAGAGACGACCACGACTCCAAGCGGGTGTATACGTTGCGCCTCTTGGTGAATGAGCTCGGCATCAAAGACCGTGTCGAGTTTCATTTGGACGCTTCGTGGCCTGAAATTCTGGACTGGCTGCAGAGGGCCTCCGTCGGTGTCAATGGCATGTGGAACGAGCACTTTGGCATTGGTGTCGTCGAGTACCAAGCCGCCGGTCTGATTTCCGTTGTCCACGCCAGCGGTGGTCCCAAGCTGGATATCGTTATTGAAATCGACGGCCAGCCCACTGGTTAGTATTGACCTAGCTTTCTGTGAAGATGAAGACTAACCAGCTTATAGGTTTCCACGCTACGAATGTCAAGGAGTTCGCCGAGGGCTACGAAAAGGCCCTCTCCATCAAGGATCCGCTCCCTGTTCGCCTCCGCGCACGCCGGTCGGCCAAGCGCTTCACCGAGAGCGAGTTTGACGAGAAGTGGATCGCCCAGATGGAGAAGTTGGTGGCTATGACGCCCTAGATGCATTGTTGACTCTTGCCTGTATTTCTATATGTACTTTGATAGACTCGAGGATACCCCTTTCCTTCAGATAACCTCAATAAACCTGGCTTATGTCGCACATAAAATCTCATCATCTAGCGTAAGCGTGATATATCATCTAAACCATCTACACCACAAATGCACCACTATTCTTCTGCCGCGGCTCGCTCGCGGCCTCGAATACGCCGTCTTCAAAGATGATGCCCTGCACGGCGCTGCGGCCCTCGGGCACCCACGTCACGTCGTGGCCCTTTTCGAGCATGCTGGCGACGGTGTCATTGTCAAAGGCGTACTCGAACGTGACGGTATTGGGCATGAGCTGGTCGTGCAGGCGGGGCTCGCGGAGGGCCTGCTTCATGGTCTGGCCGTGCTCGAGGACGTGCCAGGTGACTTGGGCCGTGGAGCTGATGATGCGGGAGCCGCCTGCCGCGCCGACGGTGACGTAGAGGGAGCCGTCTGGGTGTTCTACGATGACGGGGGTGATGGAGGAGAGGGGCCGCTTGTTGGCGCGGACGAAGTTTGCGGGGGAGGGTTCGAAGCCGAAGGCGTTGCGGACGCCTGGGATTGAGAAGTCGTTCATTTCGTTGTTGCTGGTTGTTTGTCAGTGAGTGGAGTTTACGGTGAGAAGGGATGAATAGGAGAAGGGGAATTTACAGGATTACGCCGGATAATGGGTCCATGATTTGAGCGCCAAAGAGGAGGTTGACGGTCGTGGTTAGGGAGGTGGCCATGCCGGACTTGTCCGCTGTGACGATATGCGACGTCCCGAACCCTTCGCTCGAGTATACGCCCTGCGGATCATACCGCTCAACCGGTTGCGTCTGGTTATCCAGGATCTTACCGCGGATATCCTTGGCCGTGGCCTCGTCGATGAGGGTATCCTCAAACGGCCCGATGCCTTCCACGAAGTCCGGGTCGCCGAGCAGGGAACGAGCGCCATAGGCGAAGCGCATGGCCTCGTCGAAGCGATGAACGCCGAGCTTGGTGTCGGCGGACTCGGCCGGGTCGAACTGCTCCATGATCTTAAGGGTGTTTAGGCAGACGGCGCCACTGGCCGGAGAGCCGACAGATGTGAGGCGGTGGCCGCGGTAGGTTATGGAGAGGGAGGGGCGGGTGACGACCTTGTAGGAGGCGAGGTCTTCTAGGGTGAGAGTGCCGTTTGTGGCGCGGACTGTGGCGATCATGGACTCTGCTATGGGGCCGGAGTAGAAGGCTTCTGGGCCTTCTACTGCGATCTTGGCGAGGGTGCTGGGTATTTTGTCAGTTTTTAGCTTTCTGAGAGATATGTGAGTGTGTATGAGGCTTACGCTCCGTAACGTTTGCGGTAGATGGTATCACCAAGTTGGAGGAGTGTGCCTGCTCCGTGTTAGTTCACTACTTCCTACTGACCTACACTCGGAGAGTTTGAGAGACTCACCGTTGGGAGCAAACTCCTCAGCCCATACTGGATCTTCAACGAGAAAGTTCCACTGCCCTTTGATAGCGGCGTCCATGTACCGTACCAAGTCCGAAGACACTCTGAAACCCGTAGTCGCCAACCTCGCAGCCGGGGTGACGACGCTCTTCCAGGGCAAGGTCTTTTGAGGTGACCAAGTCAGTAATGAGAATCTCTCGCTTTCTTTCCAAGCTGTTCACTTACACCGTACTTCTTGTGGATGTATTCCAACCCACGAACCTCGCTCGGCACGCCAACGGCAAGGCCGCCGTAGACACTACCCGCGATGTTGCCTTGGTACATATCCTGGAACGCAGCAGCCGGCGCAGCCTCTCTAAAGTCCACAGACTCGTAATTCCCATCACCGTCTCTGATGACGACGAAGCCGCCGCCACCGATGCCGGAGTGGTACATGCCCACCGTTCCAACGCAGAACGTCGTACCGACCAGCGCGTCTACGGCGTTTCCCTACATGGGGGTTAGTACTTGTGTAACCTTACTGAGAGATTATGAGAAGAAAGTGGAAAAAACACATACACCTTGCGCAAGTAGATCACGGCCAATCCTACTGCACTCAACCGACTCACTTGCAACGGCGCCAGTGTCGCCAGCACGAGGGTTAAAGACGAATTCCGGTATCGCTGCGGCCGAAACCGAGCGGAATTCGGCCAGCAAGAGCAGAGAGGCTGAGTAATGCCATATTGACTTGGGAGATGTCTCTGTTCTGGTTAGCCTCTTTACATGATTGCCGGAAGATGCTGATCTCCTCTACTGGATGGGATGAACTCACTCATCTTGAATAGGTGATTGATTCTCAAGGCCGGGCGGCGGTCTGTGGACTCCAACACCGGACGGTACCTCCGAGACTCAACGTGCACAACGGCCTAGACACCGATAAGAGATAGCGGAAGGGATGACAGAAGGACTCGGGAGGTAAGCAACTCTCAACGTCGCGTCTCTTATCTACCGCGATAAAGAAGCCTCCTATACCCAACAGATCACCAAGACAAGAGAAAGGGTTGTGAGTAAGCTGGAGGCATTAAACGCCGTAGTCGGGGGAGGGCCATGACTTATTACTACTGGGTCCCCGGCGATTGCGACAGACCAAGTCGCTATTACCAACTTGGTCCCAGCCCCAGATCCGGCAGGCACAACTGATAAGCGAGTTCTGGGGTCCAATATGTGGGCCACACTTACTTAGCTAAGTACATACAGAGTAAGATAGGTACCTCAAGGTGTGGTGGCACTTGGTGGGCGAGTGACAATTGAAAGTGTGCCGCATGATAGCAGTCATGCTTGGTGAAGCCCCACACCGAGTCCCAGGGACGCCAATCAGCGACGGGCGAATTAAGTAATTCTCAGCAACCTTCAGATGGCCGACAACTTTTTTTCACAGGTCCCATGTCACAAGCTTCAACTTCAAGTCTTTGACTTTCATACTTTCATCTTACACCAAATTTATGTACTTTCAAGCTATACTGTGACACGGTGCTCTTAGCGGGTCTTCTTGTCTCACAATTGGTGTATTACCAACATTGGCTTGAGGCGTTCAATGGGTTTGCCCCTGCGGCTCCTTCCGAGACTCACTTCATCTTCACTACGTCCGGCTATCAACGCCCTCACATTCACCCGGGCCTCAAGCTCGGCCCCGGCAGCAGCTCACCGGCCACTCATTCGCAGAGTCATCATGTCGTCAACAGCAGAGGCGCCTCAGGCGGCGGCAGCGGCACCAGCAGCAGCAACAAATGCAGGAGAGTCATCTCACCAAGGTCAGGCACAGGTGCAGGGTCAAAAGAAGTGGCAGAATGGCGGAAACAAGCCCAATGGCAACAAGCGTTCATTCCAGGGCGGCCAGGGAGGCGGAAGGGGCAAGGATAAGCAGCGCAAGTCGAAGCGTGAGAGGAACATCACCGAGGGCTCGTCAGAAGAGGTCTTGGCGTTCGACGTGCAAGCGCTCATCGCATTGCGCAAGGAATCACTCCCCGATGCACCGGCACCGGCGGCAGGCGAGGAGGTCAAGGACGGGGAAGAGAACGGAGAAACGAAGACCGAGACCCAAACACCCTCAGAAACCCTCCCAGAGACCTTTACCGAAATCGAAGTCGAAGTACACGCAATCTCCTCAACGGGAGACGGCCTCGGCTTCCAGCTAGGTTCGACCTCGACACAAGTCTACGTTGTCCCCTTCGTCGCACCTGGCGACATCGCAAAGGCAAAGGTCATTAGACATGTCCGCGAGGAGTCCTACTCGGTAGCCGACTTCGTCTCCGTCGTTAAGGCGGGCCCCCTCCGCGACGATGCCCGCGTCAACTGCAAGTACTTTTCCCAGTGCTCCGGCTGCCAGTTCCAGATGCTCGACTACGACACCCAGCTGTCGCACAAGCGCTCCATCGTCGACAAGGCGTACAAGAACTTCTCCAACCTGAACCCGGACCTGGTCCCGTCCATCAGGGATACCATCGGCAGCCCCTTGCAGTACGGATACCGCACCAAGCTCACGCCGCACTTTGACGGCCCTCCTGGCCACCACAAGAGGAATAAGCCCAAGCAGGCGCTGAGCAAGGTTCCCGAGATTGGATTCAACGCCAAGGGCCGCCGTCATGTTCTGGATATTGAGGACTGCCCTATTGGAACCGACGCCGTTCGCCTGGGCATGAAGCGCGAGCGTGAGCGCATCGCCAGGGACTTTGGCAACTTCACAAAGGGCGCCACGATCCTTCTCCGCGAGAGCACAAAACGCTACCCGAAGAAGGTCATCAGCAACGGCAACGCCAACACCACAGCAGCCACGGAAGAAACGTCCACGACAGAGGAAGTATCAGCATCAGCATCAGCAAAGCAAGAAGAACAACCACCCGCAGAAACCCCCTCCGACGCAGTCCGCGTCGAGACAGACGCCCACGTAGACATCAAAACCTGCCTCTCCGCCACGGGCGCAATGTCAAGCGAGTACATTGACAACTACCTCTTCACCAACCCCGCAAACTCCTTCTTCCAAAACAACAACTCCATCCTCCCCAAATTCACCCAGTACATCCGCGACCACGTCATGCCCCCCGCCGGCCCCCACCGCGACCGCATCAAATACCTCATCGACGCCTACTCCGGCTCCGGTCTCTTCACAATCACCCTTGCCTCCCTTTTCACGGGATCAACGGGCATCGACATCGCAAAGGACTCCATCGAGTGCGCCCGCAAAAACGCCCGCCTCAACAACCTCCCCGAGTCGCAGTGCAACTTCCTCGCCGCCGACGCGCCCCAGCTGTTCAAGCAGGTCACCTACCCGGCCGACGAGACCGTCGTCGTCATCGACCCGCCGCGCAAAGGCTGCGATAACGACTTTTTGAGCCAGTTGTTGGCGTTTGGGCCGAGGAGGGTCGTGTACGTGAGCTGCAATGTTCACACGCAGGCGCGCGACGTGGGCGTGCTGGTGCGCGGGGACGGTGGGAACGGCACCAAGTACGAGATTGAGAGTATCGTGGGCTTCGACTTCTTCCCGCAGACGGGACATGTCGAGGGTGTGGCGGTATTGAACAGGGTCGAGAAGAGTGCTTGATTAACCTACCTTACGTGGATTACATTGGGACGGGTTGGGATCTCATATCACGGGAGAGAGTATACAAAAGTTTGCGATACCAGCATTGGTCTGATAATTCGAAAAAGCAACAGCCACCAGAGTATGGACGTGGCGTGAGACCGTTCTCTCAAAACATACTACCAAGTCTTTTACCGTTTTATTTCGTGATCCTCTTGTTCTGTCTACTCTTGTATGAGGTTCCTCTGTCTGCATACGAAGGAAAAAAAGGAGACCAGGTCTTTCAGCCCTCCAATGTCCGATTGTCCTCTAGCAGAATCTTCAACGCTTGCACCAAGACCTCAACCACCTCCGCTCGCCGACTCTTCTTAGCGGCCTCCTTGAGCCCTTCCAGACCACCCTCCTCAATAATCTTCTTCCGCGCATTGGCCCCTGGAGCGCCCTCAGCAGCCACCATGTTGTAGATGATGAAGCCGGCGCGGTGCCGCAAGTCCTCATTGTCGTCGGCGCACATGTCGAGTATGACATTGACGCCTCGCTCACGTTCCACAATGGCTTGGACGACGTTCTCGTGGCCAGTGAGAGCCGCTAGAGCACCACCTGCTGCACTGCGCGTGCCTTCGTCCTCGGCGTCCGCCAACGCGAGTAGAATATGCAAACGGCCTTTTGCTGCGGGGCTGCCGTCGGCATACAATGCCAGACCTTCCACGGCCTGCACGAGATTGCAGATAAGCTCAACGGCGGCCTTTGACACGCGCGGATTCGAGGAGAGTAGCTGGTCCTCAATCTGTGGCCACGCCACTCTGATAATGGCTCGTCTGGTATCGAGGTCATCGGTCGACGCGAGGTTGGTGAGCGCCATCAGCGCTTCGAACGTCGGAAGAAGGTCGCGGTGCTCCGCGACTGGGTCTGTGGGAATGATGGAGATGAGCGGGCGGATCGCAGAGCTTTGCGGGTTGGAACGACTGCCGCCGAAAACAAGAGCCGGGTTGGTGCTGATCAGAATGCGCGCCAGGGCTTGCGCAGCAGTGCGACGGCCGGCGGGTTCGGACTCTGGGAGCAAAGCCCACGCAGCCAAGAGAAGCTTGACGGCGCCTTGCTGAGCAAGCTTGCCGCGCAAAGATGTCGTAACTGAAAGAGAGTAAATGATAGCGACAGTGAGTGATAGTGACGCGGCCGAACCACCCTTGCTATGAGTTACTAAAACCGGTGTGACGCCGGCCTCGAAAACGCGCCGGCATCGTTCTCCCACATGGTCATTATCGTTGAGAGGATCGGGCCCGGCAGACTTTCCAGCAGCAGCGGCGTATGCCTTGAGCTGGTTCATCTTCTTCTCCTCCTCGGATAGGTTGGGTTGGTATCTGGTGAGATTCACCAAGATGCTAAGCGCTCCGTACGTCACGGGTGACTTGGCCGGAGCGTCGGCCAACGTCTTGACAAGTTTCTTTAGGAAATCCGCGTTCCCTGCCAGCTTTTCCTTGATGGCGGGCCGGATCGATGCGTAGGCCAGCCCTTCGATAGAATGTTGGTGTCCATGGTCGTCTTCGCTGAGGAGCATGGAGGTGAACCTCGTTGAAAGCTCCTCGATGGTTGTGATTGCAGGTGATATCTTCCCTTGCCCGTCCTCATTCAGCGCCGGCGCCGTGGGCACTGCCTTCGTTCTGAAGTCAGTCAGATCTGTGATTGGACGGCTTCATGTCCGTTTGTTGATGAATACCATACCCTCAATTTCGCCAGGATAACCGCTGCCAAGTTTTGAACCTGTTCCGAGTGCTTGCGCATGGCGACGGAGCCTTCCTTGATGGAATACTCAGGGTCCTGTGACATTTCCTTGGCGATCTCCTCGGGATCCTGGTCGACAACCTCCTCCAACCACTCAGTGCAATACTTATTCACTGCGTCACGGCACTGAGAGTTCATGCATGCAGCATTGAGCATCTCCAAGCAGGCAGTCTCGACCTTGCGGCTCTTCCACTTCCGTCTCATCAACGGGCCGAGGGAGCTCAGGAAGCCCTCGCTGAGGAACAGCTCCGAAGTGAGGTCAGGAACGACCGGGAAGGTGGAGGCAGCCACACAAAAGGCGACGATGTAGTCGTCATAAGTGCCCCTCTTGATCTTGTCAAAGAAGAAGTTGGACAGCTTCTTGGCACCATCATCGCCGGCGGCCTTGAGATAGGCGGATGTGGCGATAACGGCGTGCGCGCGAACAATCTCGGGCTGTCTCATGTCGAGATATGTCAAGATGGTGTCGACGCAATCACCATCAATGAGCTTGCATATCGTGGGGGCACCGGTCTTGGCCTGGATGAGCTGAAGATCCTCATTCAACAGCTTGGTGAGCTGGTCGAGATCGCGAATGGTTTCATCATCCTCCTGGCCGCCCTCCATTAATCGCGCAAGAACGAGAAGGGTCTCATCCTCTCTCGGAGGCGCCGTGGCGGGAGCGGAAGCTTGGGTGACGGCGGCCATTGCAGTAGTTGTTCGCTCAGGCTGGGAGGCGGTTGAGCGAGCTGTGATAATGTATACTTTGGTACCACGTCAAGGTGTGTTGTTGAGTGAGTGAGGAACGGACAGACCTGGGACGGACAGAAAAAGCCTAGAACAAAACGGGGCGGAACGGTTGATATAAGTAGGTACCTTGCTGCGGTGATTAGGGCGGCGGCGGCGACAGCGGACTGTGCGATGCGTTGGTCACAAGGTAAGGTAAAAGGTCCGGCGATGACAGAGGCGTGAGGTGGCCGTGGAGGAGGATTTGGGTAGGGTTGATTGCTAAGATAAGAAATGGCAGACGACAACCCCAAAGAGGTTTCACAAGTGAGACTTGTCACTGGTCAGTGGGTGCGCGTTGATGGGCAATCACCACCAGTGGCAGTCCAGCAATAAGGTGAGGTGCACAGCGCACGCAGTTACTGGTACCTACCCGTCCGTATCTTAGGTTGCCTACGGGGTTTAAGGTAGGTGGGGTACGTACTCGAGTCGTCGCGATTACATACGGGACCTCTCTCGGGCTTACCTTGGGTGCTTTATTCAGTATTGCCGTGCCACCCAGAGGAAGCCCAGCCGGTCCGGGTAAGTTCAAGTACCAAGGAGTAAGAACTGACGATGGAATGGAACCACCGCTGGGCTGTTTCTGTTCAACCGTCAGCTCCTGATACAACGGACGGGCTGACTGTTGCAATCTACGGTGCTCCCATCTTTTTTTAGGTGCCACGGGTGCCCCTCCTTGGCTACCATTTGTAGCAGACTACACCCCTCACTGAGCACCCTGCCCGCCCTGGCACAAACACTGACGACTGACTTCGAAAGAGACTCGTGTCACTCTGTCGAGCCTCAACCATTGGAACCCAACACTTACACCGCCCGCTCCGCATCGTCGACAGACAGGGTCTCCACACGTTTCTTTCCTTGATAAATAATGAGTGCCGTAGGTGATACGCAGGTAGTAGGTGCTTGCCTACCCTGCCTACGTCATGCTCGAGACAGGCACATCCCACTAAGGTAGGCTTGGAAGGAACAATGAGTCCCCGTTGCAGGGGAGGAGCGGGGCGGGATTGCTTGAATGTACTTCACAGATTGGCAACCACGCAACCTAAGCAAACGGCAAGGTGCTATTATTCTCGAGCTTACCTCATCAAAATGGAAACAGCTCCCCTCGAGCTGGTGCGCGTCGATCGTCTCTGTCACTCAACGCGCCCCCCACGTCAGGAGCACGCCTGAGTGGAAGTTGCTGTCGCTTCCCCTTCGGAGCCTCTTCCCCGTCGTCCCCGGTCCTGTGCCGTCCAATCAACTTTGGCAGGTTTCCCTGCCGTCCAGTCTGTCGGAGCACAGGCCAATTTGAAGCCCGGGGCACATGGGTTACGGATATTTCTGGATGAAAGCTAGCTTCGTTGCATCACCACACCTCTCACAAACCCCTACTTGCGAGACAGAGGGAAAAAGAAGAGCAGCTCACCCTGTCTGTTTGTGAATGACACTGCGCCAAGAGACCAATTCTATCCGTTTGGCTTCAAGGACGTAGGATCGGACTGGGTCCGAATCGAACGAGGTCCCTGGATAGTCAATACAACCCACAGGCTTCCAACACCTTTTCGAGCCAAACCACAGATGCTCCGCCCGTGACACTCTCTCGCGACCAGGCGCCCGTCGCCCTTCGAGGCCATCGTCGACTACCGCATCCTCCTCCGCCATGAACGCCGTCGACGCTTCAGACCACTACGAGGTCTCCTCACACGAGGCCACCCCTTCCCTCTTGTCCATTGTCATCGACACGAACCCTCGAGCCTGGGCCGCCCTCAACGATATCCTCCCACTTTCAAAAGCCATCGCCAACATCCTGGTCTTCGTCAACGCTCACCTCGCTTTCAGCAATGCGAACCAGGTCGCCATCATCGCCTCTCACAGCAACCGTGCCGTATGGCTCTACCCTTCAAAGCCTGGCGCCGCCACAAACGGCAGCGCAAACTCTGAAGATGTCGCAATGACGGGCATCGACTCCTTTGCGCCGACCCCCAACCAGTCTTCGGCCAACAAGTTCCCTCAGTTCGCCCAGATCGAGGCTGCCGTCATGGCCGCGATGCGCCAGCTGGTCGACGCAACTACCGAGGCCGACCTAGCCTGCACGACGACACAGCTCTCTGGCGCCCTCACCCTCGCCCTCACACACATCAACAAGACCTCTCTCTCGCTCAACGAGACCAACAAGGCCCCCGACGTGGCCCGCCCGACCTCCTCCGCCCTCAGCCGCCTCCGCGCCCGAATCTTTATCCTCTCCGTCTCCGACTCGGAGCCCGTCCAGTACATCTCCACCATGAATGCCGTCTTCGCCGCCGCCCACTCCCAGATCCCCATCGACACCCTCGCCCTGTCCGGCGACGCAACCTTCCTCCAGCAGGCGAGCTACATCACCGACGGCACCTTCATGCAAGCCGCCAGCCCACGCGGCCTCCTCAGCTACCTCATGTTCGCCTACTCCGCCGACGCAGAGGCTCGCTCTTCCCTCATTCCGCCAACCCATCACACCGTTGACTTCCGCGCCGCCTGCTTCTGCCACGGCCGCGTCGTCGACACGGGCTTCGTCTGCAGCATCTGCCTCAGCATCTTCTGCGACGTGCCCGAAAACTCAGAGTGCCTAACCTGCGGCACGAAGCTCTCTCTCGGCAGCTATGGCGCCAAGCCTGCCGTTATACCGCGGAGGAAAAAGAAGAAGAAGAAGACGGTCCTGGCGAACGGCCATATCAGGGAGGAAACGGGCAGTGCGGCTGGCACCCCTCGTCCAGGATAAAACACATGACACAAAGCATGGACATCATTCGAGTGATGGTTGATACGGGCTGGCCTTGAATCAGAAGCACCGCCAGGAGTGCGATAAATGTGAATAGGCAGCCAGCACGACACGATGCCGCCCGCCTGTCGCCCATGGCTCAAAGTCTCAAGGCGGCTCCATATCGCGAGTGGCACCCAGTTGCTCGAATCTGATCATAGCGAGTAGCGAATTCCATCGCAGACCAAGGGGCGGGACTGCATGGATATACTTCGTTTCTTGAGGTCCCTCAGAGTCGCACGAAATTTAGCAGATAACGGCCCGTCGTTGCGATTGGATTGAATCGGGCGTTTAGGACATATAATGGCACAATAGAGTTCCCTCTAAAGAGAGGAACGAATTGAAATTCCGGACAATGCTTCATAAACGTCTTATTTCTTTGGGAAATCATATGCCTGAAGCATACTTCTTGTTTTCTGCCTGAGTTACCCTCCAGATGATGATGCTCTAGGAGGAATGCATGCTGCACTAAGAAGGGGTATCACTACCAAGTAAGAATAACTTCAACCGCTCCTGGCTCTCTCAGGTCTAGCCGTGTTGATGTTCAACTCTGCGCCATTTGACCACGAAAGTGTGCCGTCTAAACTCACCATCTGTGGCTGTGCTCGTTCAACCCCGGCTAAGCACATCATTGTCCCTGCGTTCATGTGCCAAGATCGACTCGTATTCTTCGAGCACCTCGCGTGACTTGAGCTGACTCTCCAAGACGAGACATGACGCACACGGGCTCCTTATCGGAACCACCCATTGAGGCGAGTGCGAAAGAGTCAGTGTTGTGGGCAAAGTATAAGTAGTACCCTGTCCGTGTCTTCTTGACTGTCATTACACCAATTGCCCCGACCGAGTTGCAGTTTTTGACGCCAGGGTGGCCCATGAAGTCGTTCGTGATGAAGGACTCCATGATAGCGTCTTCGTCCCACTCTTCGATGTCTCTGCCGTTCGGTCCACGACGGGTGCTGCCATAGATTCGTTCAGCACACCGTTGAGACGCCATGGTGGTGGCCATGTGCTCTCCCGTACCGCTGGTCACCGCGGCAACACTGACCTTGTCTGGATCTTCGGGATCGCAGGGAACGACAGCAGTACCGATGCCAACTAGAGCAGCGGGGCCTATACGTCCGCGATGCTTCATTCCGATGCCTCCAGAGGATGAACCTGCCGCAATGTTCCCTCTTTCGTCGATAGCTATGGCTCCAACAGTGTCGGTGATGACGTCCTCGTGATCCAATTCAGTCGCAGAAAACGGCCTCTTAAGTCCACGAGGGCTGCAACCCTGCAACTGTGCAATTGTGCTTGCATGTCTAGCCCCGTCTGTCCACTGAGATGACATTGTGCCATCACGATTTCCCTCTTCCGCCAAGTGGCTGGAAGAGGATGTCAGAGGGTCTCTCTCTTGCAGCAGGTGAGGTCGAGATCTGTTGACGGAGGGTATTGAGGCTCCTACGTGACTCAATGGGGATCTCTCAATTGTTGCCCTCGGAGGTGTAATCCGAGGATAGCCCTGCATCTGCTCGGGCACCGGTGAGCCTCGGTGGGGTGAATCTGGCTGGCCCTCGTTCCATGTTCCATTGAGAATAGCAGTGGCATGGTCTCTCTGCTGACTTTGGTAGATCCGGGAGGGAACCGTTGTCGGCATGTTGTCATACTGCTGACAGTTCTCAGCTGGTTCCTCGAGTGTTTTGCGGGTGCCTGCTTGCTTGACTTTGTCCTCAGCTCGCTTGAGATCCTCCTGCCAGCGTAGGAATCGATCTCTCGCGTTCTTGGATATGAGATAGTCATTGGGCACGATTTGCATCCCGTTTTCCACCGAGAAGTTTTTGGCGCCCTCCCCTACCAAGATGTTCGGGGGTACTCGACGCAACGATAACGGCTGGTTGCTCTTGTCTAGAATCAGCTTTGCGAGACAGATTGGATTTCTGATGTCTGCAGGCTCAATGTCAGCCAAAGTCTCGGCTTCAACAATCGATAATCAACTAACTGGGAACTGCTCCGCAGGCACCGCTTCTTCCTAAATGGTCAACGATAGTTGCATCGCATTCCACGGTCCCGTCCATCGACAAATTAGAGCCATAACCCGCGTTGGTGATTTCTTTGTCTTCGAGGACACGCAGAGCAGCTTCGACAGCTTCCGTTGCAGTGGCACCTGATTTGAGGAATTTCATTCCCATGGAAGCCGCACTGGTGATGTTAGCATTGATGCTATGAAGCTCTGGGGGTCAACGTACTCGCTGCAAGCCTCTAGATGGACTCGCTCGTTCTGATGACTGTGAAAGCCGGCGCCGGCGTGGATGAAGATAGCACCCGTAAATTTTCCTTTGTGCTTCCGCTTGAACACTCGGTCGACTGTGCCATTAGCACCTCCCACCTTTTTTGAACGGTTGGTTCTGGGATCTTGGACCTTGGTGTTTTCCGAAGGGGTTATTTCACCTCCCGCAGCTGTGGTGGCCGGGGTGTGCTTAATCTCAGGGGCCAGCCTTTCCATTCCACTGTCAGCCCGGCCGAGCTTGGCTTCCGAGCCCTGAGAGTCCCCCTTCGGTCGCTGGTGCAGAAAACACTTGACGGTTGTGTCGGTGGGGAGTATGGATGGGGTTGCTGGCTACGAGCTTGCGGTCCACATTGGCTGCAGCGCAGTGTGGCTTTGAGTTGAAAGAAAGTGATGCTCAAGTGTGGCCGGGCAGGCAATGATAGTCGATAATTTGGAGATGAAACTTGAGGTGCCGGGTTGGTCAGTCGACAGTGTTGTTGAGAACCAGGCCCAAAGTCGTGCTATTGAGACTTGATGGCTGGAGCACCTAGCCAATGCACCCCAAATGATATAATGCTAGGACGCAACGATCGTTGAAGGCTTGTCCCCGGGGCCGTTCGACAACCATCTAAGAGATGGAGCGGAAAGGTGGTCTTAGGTAAAGAGGAGAAACGAGGTATGAGAGATGTGGCTTAGGAAAATAGCCAAGGAGAAGCTGCAAGACTTTCAGGTCTAGAGGGGTTTCCGCATCAGTTCAGGAAAGCCGAAGTGCCGACTGTTGAAGAAGGAAGGGTCGTTGTGTAAGGCGGTTGCAGAGCATTCAGTGGAATCTAGTGTGTCCAGGCTCCTTCCTGAGGCCACACGTTCGCTTAACAAGACCAGAAGGAGAAAAAAGCAGTGAGGTGAGTTCTTTCGGTCGAACTGTCAAATGAGGTATCAGGGCAGATGCCTAGTCAATGTTGAAATGTCCTGCACAGGTAAAAAGGAAAAGACAGACTCCAGCGTGTCGAAGATTGCAGATGTCTTCTACTTTGTCCAACCGCTTCTGACTCAAAACCTAACGCAGGTAGATGGTTAAATTTTAGCAGAAGCATTGATTTCCTGAATTCCAGTCCACGCAAGAAATGAAACGGCTCTATATCTCCTGATAGACCTCACGGCATGAGCGATCGAGTGTCGTTGAATCTCGAAGCAGTACAACCTGCTTAGCTAAGTTGATTACAGTGTTGCATAACAGTGCATACCAACATACACCGTCTTTCCTCCCTGAATGTCTTGGTGGGGCTCGGTGGTGGGGCACCGACCTCTCCCATGGCTGGAGAGTCCACCCACTCTGATGCACAGCCGCAGGTTGGGAGCTTCCATCGGTGACAAGGCACACACTTCCGGCTACCTTGGGACGTACGTCGTAATCAACTCCACGACACATCCAACGCCTCGACGACCTGTTCACCTTTGATTGATGCCGCAACTGAGCTAGAGTCTCAACGAGCGCATCCGAAAACACATTCACGATGGCGAACCAAACGCCTGCCGTTGTCATGGACAAGTAAGCCACCAATGTCACCCTGCCCCGCATCCCCCGAGGCAGACGTCAGTGAGACCATCACCAGCTAACGGGTCATCAACAGCGGCACGGGATTCTCGAAGCTCGGTATGCCAATTGAACAGCTCTATCACACAAATTCCGATCCCTATCTCTGACGTCTTAATCAGGTTTCGCCGGCAACGACTCCCCGTCCTTCGTATTCCCGACCGCCATTGCGACGAAAGGTGCTGCTGGAAGTGCAGGAGGAACGGGCTCCGGCCGTCCAGCTGTCGCGAATAAGCCATCCTTCCTGACCGGCGGCGCAGGTGCGGGTGGCCACTTAAACTCAAAGCGCGGAACCGAGGACCTCGACTTCTTCATTGGTGATGAGGCCATTGCTGCTTCTGGAGGACCTGGTTAGTTGGATGCGACGGACGCGTTCTTGGATGACAACTACTGACCGAGATTCAGGCTATGGTCTTCACTACCCTATCCGTCACGGCCAAATAGAGAACTGGGTTAGTCATGACAAGGCTTCGACTGTGCTGGACTTGGGCTGACCGCTTGCAGGATCACATGGAACGGTTCTGGTCCAACTCCATCTTTAAATACCTCCGCGTAGAACCCGAAGATCACTTCTTCCTCCTCACCGAACCGGTACGATACGGGATACCTCTTTACAAGCCGCGGAAGAGTCCAAGCTGACTTTGTCATAGCCCCTGAACCCCCCCGAGAATCGCGAGAACACGGCCGAAATCTTCTTCGAGTCCTTCAACTGCGCCGGTCTGTACATTGCCGTCCAGGCTGTGCTCGCCCTTGCCGCTTCATGGACCTCTTCCAAGGTCCATGACCGATCTTTGACCGGTACGGTCATTGACTCTGGTGATGGTGTTACCCACGTTATCCCTGTTGCTGAGGGATACGTCATCGGATCCTCCATCAAGTCGATCCCCATCGCAGGTCGCGACCTGACCTACTTCGTGCAGTCGCTGCTGCGTGATAGAGGCGAGCCGGACTCGTCGCTCAAGACGGCTCAGGAGATTAAGGAGCAGCACTGCTACGTCTGCCCCGATATTGTCAAGGAGTTCTCTCGCTACGACCGGGACCCCACCCGCTTCATCAAGCACCCGGTGCTTCACCCTGGCGGCCGTCAGGTCTCCGTCGACGTTGGATACGAGCGTTTCCTCGCCCCCGAGATCTTCTTCAACCCCGAAATTTACAGCTCCGACTTCCTCACGCCCCTCCCCACCGTGGTCGACAACGTCATTCAGGCTTCCCCTATCGATGTGCGTCGTGGTCTCTACAAGAACATTGTTCTTTCCGGCGGAAGCACCTTGTACAAGGACTTCGGTCGCCGCTTGCAGAGAGATATCAAGCAACTGGTCGATGCCCGCATCCGAGCCAGTGAGGTTCGCAGCGGTGGTGCTAAGTCTGGTGGCTTGGAAGTCCAGGTTATCACGCACAAGAGGCAGAGACATGGTCCCTGGTTCGGTGGTAGTTTGCTGGGACAGACGCCCGAGTTCCGTTCCTACTGCCACACCAAGGCTGAGGTAAGCCTTTCATTCATCCTCGTTTTGAGCGCTGTTGCTGACTTTCTTTATAGTATGAGGAGTATGGCCCGAGTATTGTTAGACGGTTTGCGTTGTTGGGCGGCCCTGGTGGTTCATAAATCTGGGGATTTGTGCTATAGAGACTGCGAGCCAATACTTATCTCCAAAAGGCTACCACCACCACTATTTACGAGAATCAAAATCATGACCACTTCCTGTCATGCCTTTCCTGCACGTGCGAACGAGAAGCCGGCCGCGTTCCCTAGCTGGGATGGGTACCCAGAAAACTGCTGTATTGTGTCTTGTCATCTCATCTTGCTCTGTCCACTCGAGGTGCATTCGACGAGAGCAGACACCTGCCTAGAGTGTTTGGTCGATACAACTCACCACGCTATGTGCGGATCCATAGCCACGATTGTGCTTGATGCAGAGCACAGAGTCAGCATAGTCACTGCACGACGATCCTTCAGTGTAAGAATCATGACCAGTCGCTAGACGAGATGGGCTACGCCCGTTCCCTCCTGTATCTCACAATTATAACAGTTTGAGTTCATGCGCTTCTAGTCAGCTGGGAAGACTCTAGAGTATTGCCCTGCTAACATGCATGCCAAGACTGATGTTCGTGAGTATTTGCGGCTTGAACTCTGGCGACTATCAACATTTGGCCATCTTATAGCCAGTCTGCAAAAAGTCAAGAGTTTCTCACAAGTGTCACAAGCTCAAAGAAAACTGCAGAGTGTTTTCCAAATTTGTTCATTACTCGTTTCCAATAGAACGAGAAAGATATATATCATACACGCTGAACTCCCTCCCAGGTTAGGTATCCTAAGCAAAAGCCCCTTTGAAAAAAAGACATCAGATTCATCCACTCGCCCGCCGTGAAACACAACCACTGCCGCCCGCCACCCAACCGCCGCCGTTAAGGCCCCAACCTTTTTGGTCTCTCAAGAGTTCACATTACGCCCCCACAACTTTTTGTTTCGAGATCTTGCCTCGTTCGTCTTATTTGCTGGTGTCGACGACGTAGCGGCCGGCAATCTGGCCCTTCTTCATCATGTCAAAGACCTCGTTCAGCTGGCTCAGGCCGACGGTCTTGAACGGTGCGTTGATGAGGCCGCGGCGGAAGAACTCGAGGGCCTCGGCGGTGTCCTTGCGGTTACCGACGTAGCTGCCCTTGATGTTGATCATGCGGATGACGGTGTCGAAGACGGGGGCGCGGAGGTAGGCGTTGGCGGGCAGGCCGATGCAGACGACGGTGCCGCGGGAGCGGACGTACTGGGTGGCCTGCTGGAAGGGCTTCTCGCTGACGGCGAGGAGAATGACGGCGTGGGGGCCGAGACCCTCGGGGGTGGCCTTCTTGACGTCCGCGACGAGGTCGGACGAGGTGGTGAAGTCGACGTACTCGGTGGCACCGAGCTTCTTGCACATCTCGCCCTTCTCGGCGCCGCCATCAATGGCGACGGTGTGGATGCCCATGGCTTTGGCGTACTGCAGAGCCAGGGAGCCGAGACCGCCACCGGCACCGACAATGGCGACCCACTGGCCGGCACGGACGCCGGACTCCTTGAGACCCTTGTAGACGGTGATACCGGCGCAGAGGACAGGGGACACGGCCTCGAGGCTGACGTCCTTGGGGATGCGGGCAACGTGGGCGGCCTTTGCAATGGCGTATTGCTGGAAGCTGCCATCGACGGTGTAACCGGAGAGCAGGGCGTGGGGGCAGAGGGGCTCGTCGGCATCCTGGCAGAAGGTGCAGGCGAGGCAGGAGCCGTTGAGCCACTTGATACCGGCGTAGTCGCCAATCTCGACGTCCTTGACGAGTTCGCCGCGGGCGACGACGACACCGGCGCCCTCGTGGCCACCGACGAGGGGCATCTTGGTGTCGAGGGGCCAGTCGCCCATCATGGCGTGAAGATCGGTGTGGCAGACACCGGAGTACTTGACGTTGATCAAGACCTCATCAGAGGCGGGCTTCTGAACGGGAATCTTCTTGTAGACGGCGGCTAGGGTATCATGTTAGCGATAATATGAACGAGGTATGAGGGATGCTGTGGTTACATACGGCCTCCAGTCTTCTCGATAACCTGAGCCCATTGCTCGGTGGGGATCTCGGGAGCGGCCATTATGATGGTTTGTGTTGATTGTGTGTGTATGAAGATGTCTCTGAAGTACAGATGAAATCTGGGATCTTCCTATGAAGTAGAAGAAGAGATTGGAATGTAAGATGGAAGGCTGTTGAGCTTGGATCGCTTGATCTGATCAGACGGGAAACCAGAGCATGGCGACACTGGTCTTATATAGAGATGAGAGCAACATCTTGGACATGGCCAGGAACGGTGGTATAAGTGAGAAGTGGGGGTGGTGGTGAGGGTGGCAGTGGTCTGCTCTCCAACAGCTGGGGGAAGCTCGGTACGGCACCGGACGGTTCGTGTCAGGGATGGACGTTCTGGGCGAGATACTTTGGTACATCCGTCATGTCAACTGAAGCATGGCATGGTGAAGCAGTACCGGAGAGAAGGATAAAGTGGGTTGAGACTTCCAAGCCGAGAGGAGGCAAAGCAGGAAGGACTGGGAAGAGACGGCTCGGACGAGTGAGGTGAGGTGTGGTATCAGGGCCGACTGGGCATCCACTGGACAAGGCTAGAGCAAAAAACGTATGATGTTGACGACAGGCCAGGAACCGCAGTCTAAGGAGCTTTACCCCTCACAGTGGCAGAAGGAGTTCGAGACACGCCATAGAAAACTGACAAAGTACACACCCAGTTGACACCCCCAACTCTGTGCAAAATATGTGAGGAAAGCCAAGGACACGGCCGGGTCCCAGGTGGGCCGGATCACCGCCCATCAAGCACAGCTCTGAGAGGTTGTTGGAGAACCTAGGAGAAAGGGAAGAGTGGTGGTTGGTTTCTCTGCCCGGAGACTGCCATGTACTGTGCAGTACACCTGGGTACGTACTCGTACACGCGCGGGTTGGGGCTCCCGCCGGGTTCCATTACACGGCGGCGCTTCCTGCACGTCTCGAGTCGTTCTCTGCCTGCACTTGCAGGCTCGAGGCTCGCAGGAACGGGCTGCCCGCGGTTTTGCTCCACCGGGTTGGGGGAGAAAGTTGTAGTGCTGCTACTGCTACCTTGGAAAAGAAGGCTAGGTACAAAGGGAACATTCACGCAGTATTACCCCGCGCGTTGTTAGGGCAAGCGGGAGCGTAAGAGCATGGCGGTGTCGGACCGTGATTGGCCTCAGAAGCAGCTTTCCCCAGTGCAGAGGTACCACGAAGAGGCACTCGAGGCATGTTTTGGGATGCATCGTCGATGCAACGGCTGCTGTCGACCGAAGGCGCGGATAGCGGACGACGGGCTGGATAGGCCATAAGGCGCCCCCTGGCACTTCGAGACCCTACACACGCACCACTATACACAGTAAGGCGCAGACATGGTGTGGGATATGTGAGCTAGGATCAAGGGCGTTGGTGCGTTAGGACAGCAGGCATGGGCAGATGGAAGTTTTGGTACGTTCTCGACTCTGACTCTCGAGGCTTCCTTCGATTGAACTTCTCGTCCATGGCATGGATAGGGGGAATGATTGACGAAGGAACTGACAACTCCACCTGACAGGTGCGGATTGACGTCGGAGCACAGCGCAACCCATAGTGAACGACGTCGAGGCGAGTGGGGAGTGGGCTTCGTCTGCAGGTCTGACTGTGAGCAGTGGGAAGAGTGGAACCACGGCCGTGTTGAGAGTTCCCTCTTCTTCCTGTTCTTGGAAGTTGAAGCATCTTTGTTTGGTTGACGGCCGTCGCCGACAGGTTGGATTGGGTTTCGTTGGCAGGTCTGTACAGTAAACTGCGTGTGTCTGCCAGCTTCGGTCCAGTATTACATACCATCAAATGCTACCTATGCCAACTTGCTTTCCTGCATGTTCTTTGCGTCTGGATTGGATCGGCGGACCTGATCTGATCTGATAGATACGAGACCGAAAGTGACGGCGAACATGCAGGCGAGGCAGCCCGAGTGGGATTCTAGCAGTATCCATCTTGAATCCATTATGACTTGTTCCGAATTGACGCAGTTGCGAGACAGGGCCGATGGATTGCATGTTGTGGTGTTGCTGAAGAGATTTTGAGCTGTAGGGCCGAAGAACTACCAGAAAAGCACCAGATTCTAAGCTGAAGATGGAGAATCACGAGATGGGACGAATAAGATACGGCCAAAGCCATGGCAGGCCCGCGCCACAGGAGTGGGATAACAGCACCACGCAGAGCCCATTCCCCATTTCGGGAGCTGCCGGATCCATGTCCAGATCCTCGTCTTTTTGGTGAGCCTCCTTTTTTTATTCTGGGATATTCTTTTTAATCTCTCTCTGCCCGTTTCCACCTAAAAGAAACTCCCGCAATGAACAAATGTTGCTCGGAGCCATTGGGAAAGAACAACAGAAGGTTCGTCATATCATGACACCACTCGCTTGTCCAGAAAGCAGGAAACGCGGATAGTCGGGATGCGCACCTTCTTCCCCACCCTACAAAGTACTTCCCATGCCTTAGTCATACTATGAGTACACTGAGAATGCGCCATACAATCTTCATTCGACATTGGCATTTGGGTCATTTGGTGGTGGTGGTGATCAAGCAGTGGAAGCTCTGGTGGAGATCGACTACCTTACAGGGTCCATACACCCTTCCGCTGACGCCTGTCGCTGCGATCTCTCGGCATCTGAACGGCCTTACTGGGACAGAAGCACCCAACGCCGGGCATCGCTCGCTCCTTCTTCTACACACCACCTCATGCCGCACACCACCAAACCCGCCGAAAACAGTCCAGCTGCCTTGACCGTTCCAGGGGTCTAATTCCCGCCCGTCGACGGTTCCGTCACTGTTCATCATCATCATCATCATCATCATCAACAACAACACCATCTCACTGTACAATTCACATGCTCCGTGTCAACTTCTGGTCCACGATATCGAATCCAAAGCCAAACTCTCTCCATACAGAGCTCCAGATGATGCGTGTAATGCCCCCATAGGTTTCAGCAAACTCGACCATACTTGGCCGGACAAGTGCCAAGCAAGCAATCATGAGCCGCGTAAAAGGTAGCTAACTCGAGACGAGCCTCCCTAGGTTCTCGTGGACATTGCCTACTGCGTGCCATGTTTGGAAAGGCGCAGCAGCCGCACGAGTCTTAGTCCGAAGTCGCAGGGAGGTGGCTGCGAATAGCTTCAGAGTCCTCATCTCCGTTCGCCCAGAGCGGGACCTGCGGATCATGCAGCTCGCAACCCCTACTCAACAACACCACGCCCCGTCCGACACACGATACGGTCACACAACACACATAATCCCTGGATCAGAGCAGAGGTAGGCAAACAACAAAGCATACGCTGCCTCAACACTTGGACTTACTGCTAATACCCTAGCTGATAGGAATTTGTCCCCCCACAATCCCCCGCCCTTTGGTGCCACTTATTCACGCCTCACGCTGCAACTTCGGCTGCAAGCTCGTTGCTCATGCTGTATTCCCCCAAATTTCCGCAGCACGCTGCCACCTGCCTGCGAAACCTCCACCGACATACTCCAATAATGAGGGCCAGCCTCCACACCTTCGCTCGAAGGGAGCTTTGCAAATCCAACCTCCTGACGCAGACAATGCCCACTGCGTCTGACAGAGTTGCCCACAAGCGTGGCGGCTACGGATGGGGCCCCGCGATTCTCAAACCCTCCCCCATCTATTCCCCGCATACCGCCTATGAATAGCTGAACCTCTCACTCAAACAGTTGATCCCATCCTGCCTCAACACGCTCAGAACCCCAACCAACCACTCTTCCTGCTTCTCCAGCTTTGCGGGGAAGCTCCTGCAGCTCGAAACCCTCGGTCAACTCCCTTACTTTGCCTGCCAACAACTTACACTGTGTGCGGCGCACTATGTCTCGAGACCCCAGTCAATGCTGACGCCCGGGTTCATCCCCGGATCCGGTAGTGCGGCGGCTTCAAGGACGAGCGGAGGGTTGTTCTCTAAGATTACCGGTACCCTGCGAGTTTCGGCCTCCTCAGTCAGTCGGGGACGGAAACAGACGCCCAGTCTGCTCCGGAAGAGCGGAAGACACTGCTAGAGACATCTGGCCAACGTGGAGAGCAGTGAATCTGGGGCTGAGGAGACCCCGCGCAATCCCCATGGGCCTCTACGAACTACGCGGAGAAAAGTCACTTACCTTGCCATCGAATCAGGCGCAAATTCGGGGCTTCTGGCAGTAACCGATATCCCGAGCTGGGCAGTCATATGCCACCAAAATTTCTCGGTCCTGTCGAGAAGCTTTTATCAACGAAATATCCGCTTCTGGCTTTGTATTAAGTTCGACAGCCAGCACTAGATTTCGAGGAACGAGGTTGGGGCAACGGAGCTCAACACGCATCAGCCTGCCTCTCCTCTACGAAAGCGGAGCACTTTATGTCTTCCTCTCATGTCGCGGGTGGCAGCGGCATCGTTAGTCACTGCTCTGGAGCAGCCTTCCTCGAATGCCAGCATACGACTGAGCGAGATGAACATCACGGGAATTCATCGCCAGATCCAAGAAGTGATTACGAATGTCGAGACTGGACCTGGGCTGGATTATTACCTGCAAGCTTACAGGAGCCATTCAAAGTGGTCGCCATCAATTTCTTGCTAGTCTTCCGACATTTTGACAAATTGCTTCATCTCAAGTGAAAAGGCATGCCGTTTACAAGATGAACGCTCCAAAGGCTGTGCACTGTCCGATCTAAGACTGACAAAGGGTTTCAAGATGGAGTGAGGACGATCATAATCGCATGGGTTATGGCAGGGCGACATCGTTTCCTTTTCGAGCCGATCGTGATACGACGGTTGCACGATACCTTGACCTGAAGTTTTGACAGCTGCGACAACGCTGAGAGTCTAACCAGAGGTGGAGAAATAATCTGGCGTATTAGTCTACGCTGTGACCTGTCCAAGTTTGACACGAGGCAGCCCAAGCTGAAGTTTCTGCTTCGATAACCGCTCTCATCTGGTACTGATGTCAAAGCTGTCACGCACGCCACTTCCGCGTTGTCGAAATACACAAGTTCAAGGGTGCCATTCAGCACATCACACAACTTGGCATGAGGAGAATTTCGCCGACTAGCTTCCTAAAGGTGATGAACCTAGATCTAATCTCCCGCCATTGTGGAGCCAGTCAGGGCTTGCGTGTGGAGCGGGCCGATAGGACTAGTGATCCATAGAGTCGTACTCGGACTCAGAAAATCATCCAATAACTGAGTGGGATCGATAGCTCAGTGGTAGAGCGAGAGATTGCAGTGACACGCAGTTTATCTCTAGGCCCCGCGTTCGAATCGCGGTCGGTCCTATTCCTTTTGTTTTTGCGAATACCTACCCCCAGATCCAAGCATTAGAAGGCTTCCTCCAAAGCCCTAGTCCTATTTTACCATCCTAAATTGTTTTTAGGCTTGCATACCAAACAAGCATCCGGACGTGATGTGACACCGTCCTATCCTCGCATCGGAAGCCGTTTAGACTCAACGGAGACATTGGCCAGTGTCATGCGGGGGCTTAGCCAAGTCCCCCCGCCTTTACAGCTCACCTTCTACGTTGTAAGTGTCGGAACGTACGGGCAGCCCAGACGATTGACGCTGGTTTAGTGACATTGAGACAAGTGCAGTTGCATGGCAGATCCTGGGATGGTCCGTGTAAGACGCTCGATCACGATGCATGAGCTAGGTCTTCTAGCCAATCGTCTTCTCACCTGAAGATGATGACCACCAAGTCCAAACGAAACAAGTGAAGGCATACCCCAAGTGGAGGGTCGAACCTAACCGCGGCCTGAGCAAGCACACTTACATGTGCCGCTCGGTGAGGATTGAAACAACTCAGTTAAGACGATGCTGCTCCTACCTCCTGCCCAGCCCCTTGGTGCTAAACATTGGTTATCCCTAGTTGCAGAAATTCTACAGTCTTGAATTTGCAATTCGATCTCTAAAACCTTTCTTCTCCTCAAAACCCCCTCTTCACCTGTCCCGGAGACACCTGTCATTACAGGAACCCTCACTTAGTGTAATTGCTGGGAGATTCAACTCGCACTTCCATCAAGATGGGTTTACTCGAGAGCTTGACGGCGGCTAACCCGCTCTACATCGGAGGCTCCATCTTTGGAGCCTACCTTCTCCTTCTGGTGTTCTTCAGGGTTAGAATGGAGTATCTCCTCAGAAAGTCTGGTGGTGTGAGAGCTCCAGTCATCGCTTCCAACCCCTTTACAGGTAACAATGAGAAGGGTCCTCTCCCCGCACCAAAGATCGGGCGGCTAATTAGTGCGAAGCCATTCCGGTATTCTTGCGGATTGGGCGCTATCAACTTAGGCACCAGCTCCTCGAGGGATTCAACACTCTTTTCAGCGTCGCTACCCCTGAGTCTCCGAACACAGTCGAGATTGGCTTCACGGGCAAGCTCCGCTTCCTCATCACCAGAGAGCCGGAGCACATCAAGACTGTCCTCACCTCCAAGTTTGCCGACTTTGGAAAGGGGCCCATGTTTCATCAAGTCTGGTCTCCGTTCCTAGGCGACAGCATCTTCACTACGGATGGAAAGACGTGGCAGGATAACCGGAGCTTGATCCGGCCTATGTTCATCAAGGATCGAGTTAGCGACTTACACATCTTTGACAAGTGGACCAACATCATGATGGACAAGTTCCCGGCGTCAGGAGTCACCTTTGATATCTCGGATCTATTCTACCGTATGACGCTTGATGTGACGACCGATTTCCTGCTTGGACATGGTGTTAACAGTCTTGGCAAGTGAGTAGACCACTCATACCTACAATTGGCCCTGACGCGATGCTAATCTACCTGACAGCCCGAAGCATCACTTTGCACACGCTTTCAACGAGGTCCAGAGTTATCAAATGTTTTACACAATCATGGCGTAAGTGTCCTTGACGAAAGTGAACAGAATCAGCCGAGCTGACCCAGTGCCAGACCCTTTGAGAACATCTTGCCCCACGGAACTTACAAGCGCGGCATCAAGGTTATTGAGGAGTTTATCCACCCTTTCATCCAAGAGGCCCTGGCCTTGCCGCCATCAGAGCTCGAGAAGCTCTCCAAGTCTGACAAGGATTTCACCTTCCTTCACAACATTGCTCGTTTCACGCGCGACCCCAAGGTCATCCGCGACCAGCTCGTTGCTATCCTCCTCGCTGGTCGTGATACCACTGCTGCAACGCTCTCGTGGACTCTCTACGAGCTCTCCCGCTACCCTGCCACATATGCCAAGCTGCGCGCTGAGATCCTGACGACCTTGGGACCCAAGAGGGCACCGACCTACGAGGACCTCAAGAGCATGAAGTACTTGACCAACTGCCTCCAGGAGACTCTGCGTCTGTACCCAGCGGTGCCTTTCAATGTGCGCTCCGCGTTGACGACTACGACCTTGCCTGGCAGGAATGGCAACCCCGACATCGCCGTGATCGAGGGAGATTCAGTTGTGTACAGCACGCTCGCCATGCAGAGAAGGCGGGATCTATATCCTGAAGTGTCAGAGACGTTTGCGGACCCGGCCATCTACAGCCCCGAACGGTGGGAGCACTGGCAGCCGAAGCCATGGCAGTATGTGCCGTTCAATGGTGGTCCGAGAATCTGCGTTGGACAAAACTTTGCCAACACGGAGATGGCTTATACGAGTGAGTGCCCGTCCTTGTCCCCCCCTGCACCTTTTCATCTCTCCGTTCAGGCCATGTACTGTGAATATGGTGATATTGCTGAGCAAATGCTAACACGCACCCAGTGGCGAGAATTCTGCAAAAGTTTGACAGGCTCGAGTACCGCGGAGACTGGAACGCGCAGGTCATCAGGGCCGAGATCGTCGGCGCGCCGGGCCATGGCGTGCCTATCGCGCTTTTTGAGGCTGTCGATGGTGAGATGGCATAATTGTCAAAAAGCCGCAAAGACGGCAGCGAGTTTTTCTCAGTCCTTGCGACGATGTAACGAGAAAAAAACAAAAACAAAGGGCCGCAGTGGCATCTACGAAAATAAATCACAAAAAAGGACTACAGCGACACTGGCTGGCTTCGTTTTAAGGGACATGGGGGTAACGAAGAGCCTTTTTTAAGGTTATAGTGAGATGAGGATGATCGACTAGGAGGGAAATAATTTTGTCGATAGTTTGATCGATTAGCGAGTCGCCGAGTCCCTCCGCGGCATGGATGTCAATGAGATTTTTTCGGGAAGTTTTGATACGCTTCATAAGGATCGTCGTTGGCTTTGCGCGGTACAGAAACGCGGCTCGTTCTCTTTCTCAACATGGCGTGATACGGCAACATTGAATACGGAGTAGAGCGACGGCGACTGATATCAAAATCGGTCGTCACATATCTGAACGCGGAGTGAGCACGTCTTGCGTCGCACCCGTTCGGATCTAATTACCACCAGCCCGAGGGAGCCCCAGGGGAGAGATTCTTGGTTACGACATCGGCGGTCAATCACTGCGGTGGGAGCATTAAAGAGCGACAGGGGCCCCTGGCAGCAGCTCATTTCCATGAGCCGGTTCCGACTCGCCGCGTCCCAGTCGTATAATGAATGTCACGTATCTTGTGACCTAGTGAAGCGGGCGCGGGCGCACGGTTTATGTGAGAGAGAGAGAGAGAGAGAGGTAAGACGGCACCTGAAGATTGATACACAAAAGTCGTTTTTGCAGGTGGCGGGAGACGCGTATGCTAGCTATGGGTGCGCTGTCAGTGTTGGTGTGTCAAGGGTTTGGATGTGAGAGATCTGAAGTCTTCAAGGGACGTGTGCCGTACGATGTTGGGACCTCCTTCAATCTGTGCTTGAACATGAATAGTAAAGAACGGCCGGACCCCTTTTTCTGAACGGACGCGGGGGTAAAATGATGTTTGGGCTGATGGCTGATGGCTGACGGCCAGACGTATGGATGTTTGGTTTTTCGGGGCAGGGGGCGTTTTCCCTCAGGGCTTCCTGTCAATTGAAACGGGATCACGGATAGACGGAGAGGCAGAAGTTGGGGGTCACTGGCGCTGGGCTTGGACTCTCGGAACTCCTACCGAGCTTTCTCTCTTAAGATCAAGCTCAATGGCTGTCTCTTTTGAAAAATTTGTGGCTAGAGAATGACCAGTGAGACGTGCTTGTGGAAATCACCTGGGCTATGACATCAAGAGAACAAAGGAATGGTGGACTTCTTCATCGTAGTCTTGTGAAACACGCCCCGTTCGAAGAATTCCTTTGCTCTCTCTTGCGTATGGATTGCAGTTGGTACGTCAACGGTAGCGACCGAGTAACACGAATGATTCAGGTATGACCGCTATATAGGAATGTCTGGCTGTCGTAGAGACGGTTATAGAAACGATTATAGAAACGATTAGTAGAAAGTGTGCCAAGTAAGGCACTACCTATCCTCACTAATGTGAGGTGAAGCTTCGGTGTGACGAGATTTGTGATTGGATCCTTCCCGCCAGACCGCCCTTCAATAACCCCTCCAGCTGGTGGGTTGGAGTGACCCGTTTAGGGAACAGAGTGACAGGGATTATTCAGAAAAAGAGCAAATCGACCCAGTTGGTTTGAATGCCCCCGCCTGCCGAAGTTCTCCTCTCATGCTCTCCCACACTTCTACTGGTGCTTCGAACTGGCTGCAACCCCATTCCAGGTTCTGCTCTCCCACCTCAGCTCTCCCGCTCCTACCTGCAGCAAGCTGCGACCAACAGGCGACCGTCCTTTCCACGGGACCGACAAGCACAGGGCAAGGCAACCCAGGCACCGCACATCACTTCCTTCCCACCACCACCACCACCAGGGCCCTTCCCGGCAGACTGCTCCTTCGCCCAACCGGCTCCAACCCTGAGGATTGACAGCCGACCTGCTCGCTGCTTGCTAGACGTTGGAAAACCGTCCATCCGCAAAACCTCTTCACTTTCCTCGGCACATCGCGTCCTTCCTTCTTCTTCTTCACGCTCGGATACCTGCACCCTTTCTTTCTTTTTTGGAACACCCCATTAATTCCTGCAGGGCTTGGGGAACGTTTGCCCGCCTGATGTCACTGTACGTTCCCTCCTTCTTTATGCACAATTGATTGTCTCGACCAATCGACTGAGACACAGAAATTGACGTCTTTTGCAGCTTTCCATCAGCCACTTAGACACCAACTTTTTCACCTTTTCGACTTACACCGCTCGGCGCGCCTACCGCACTAATTTTGCCGACTCCTACCTACACCTACCTTGCCATACTCTCCTTTGGACTTGCGATAGCGAATTCCGCGACAAACACTCTTTCTTTTGCATTCTCAATCACGTCACCGACCTACCTGGGGGTGACCTCTGCGACGTAATTCTTCTCCGACAACTCGTAATCTCAGACTAATCTTGCGACAACGCTCGCGAGCCAATGGCGATATAATGAGCGCGACTCCCACGAACCGGCTCAGACTGACGCCGGGAAACTCCCCTTACCTTCAACAACGATCTAACCGAACACCAATCCGAGGGCGCCTACCTCACGAGTCCCGACTTTCCCTCAAACGAGTCATTGGCACCACCTGCGCTTCGCCAACGGGTTTCGATACCGTAAACTCCTCCTTTGCCTACATAGCAGGCGGCGCCGTCGTTGTCGTCGATGTAGACGGTGAACACTATGCCCAGCGCTTCTACCGAGCCCGCCCGACTGCGATACCCGTTTACGGCTCGACAACTTTGCTGAACAACTACTCAGCGCCTTCAACACCCAAGGCCAACGATAGCAGGAATCGCGCCGCGATTGGGGTTCGGGAATCGCAAAGTTGGAACGACTCTCCGGGATCAACATGGACCAGCCGCGAGCGCATCAAGGCTGCGACGTGCCTTGCGCTGAGTAGAGATGGGCGGTATTTGGCAGTCGGAGAGACGGGTTACGCTCCTCGCGTGCTCATTTTCAACCTCGAGGACGCATCATCTGACGTTCCATTGGTCTCCATCAGCGAGCATGGGTTTGGCGTGAATGCAGTGGCATGGTCGGCAGATACCAGGTGGCTTGCTTCTTTGGGTACGGCCAACGACGGTTTCCTCTACATCTGGAAAATCGACCCTCGTACGGGTGCTGCCAAGTTGTACCAGCAAAACAAGTGTACCTCCACTATTAAGGGCATGGTCTGGATGGGCAGCAGCCTTGTCACGCTCGGTGTGCGACACATCAAGATTTGGAAAGTCGAGGAGACTCAGACCTCTTCCCCTTTGAAGACGAGGTTCAATGAGGGCATTTCCACACCCCAGAGAGTCCTCAACGGTCGCAACGTCCTACTCGGATCGCTCCTGGATGGTACCTTCAACTGCGCGGCTGTCGTCGACGAAACGAGCATAATCATCTGCTCAGAAGCTGGCGACGTCTGTGTGGTGGAGGATGACGGCAAACAGACAAAGCTCGTCAAGTCACTCACTGTCGACTTTCCGATCACTTCCATCACCATCAGACATGCCACTGCATATCTCTCAGGAAAAGAGGGCCAATTCGCGACTCTCAGCGTCAAGGCCGTCCTCGAGAGTCTCCCAGACGGTGTTCTATCGAAAAGCGTCGCGCCTGCTGGTCTGGTAGCTATGGGTTTCTTGACAGAAAACCTAGTAACCATCGATGAGAAGCACACCGTAGATATTTGGAGCTCGAGCTATCAGCCGGGCCAAACGGTGGACGACCCGTCACACGTTTCTATACCGGGACACGGAGACCAGATTTTGGGCATTCAATCAATGTCAAAGCCCAACGACCAAGGAGCAGATTTCTTCACGTGGTCCGGGTCTGGCAAGGTCATTTTCTGGGACATGAAGGGCAAAATCAAGTGCTCCCTAGATGTGCCCATTGAACAGGTCATCCTTGAGAGCGAGATGGACCCCGTCAATCAGCTCAATGTGGTCCGAGCGACTAGAGCTGGGAAGATGCTTGTAGCAGCCGACAAGTTTGGTGTTCTGAGGGTAATTGACCTGACCACGAAGGAATGCTTGCTTGAGACGAAAGCTCATTCGTCCGACTGTCAGGGTGTCAGCATCTATGAAGACGACAACAAGTTCCTTCTGGCTACATGGGGCAGAGACCGGACTGCGCAACTATTTCACCGCACGTCGGGTGGAGAGTTCCGGCACTTCCAGACGCTGGAATTCGCTGCTAGGGTTGTTCAAGTGCTAGTCCAATCTGAGGACAAGATAATGACTTGTTCCATGGATAGGACACTGCAAACTTATGACATAGTCTGCAAAGAGGATGAGGAAGACGAGCTTGCGGCTCTTCCTTCTAGGGCAAACACCCTGAAAGCAGCGCCAACGTCGTTCGCCCTGGGTCAGGATGAGAGGACTGTATTCGTCTCCATGCTGGATCGGTCAATTTGCCAATACGATCTTTCCAATGGCCGACTTCTTAACTGCTTCAAGTGCGTTGATGAAAGCGGAGCTGAGACTGCTATCCTGGAGTCTCTAGTTTTCACTCAGCCTGCCGGGAGAGAGTCGGGCTTCTTGCTGGGCATATCGAATACGGACAAATCCGTCCGTCTTTACGATGCTCATTCGGGCCACTTTGTAGACAGAGAATGGGGCCACACAGAGGCTATCAACGGCGTCACGTTGACCGATGATGAAGATGGGTGCCAAAGGGTCATCAGTGTAGGATCTGACGGGACCGTGATGCTTTGGTCTATGGAGACGGACAACACAACTCTTTTATCTACAAGTAGAGATCCATCTCCGATGAAAGACGGGTCCGCTTCCACCAGACCACCACTTCGACGAGTTCTCTCCAAAGCAGAGCTGGCCGAGTTTCAGCGTCCAGCCTCTGCTCAGGGTGGCCGACGATCTCCGCCCAGGACCATTCGAAGTCGGACTTCTCGGTACGGTTTGAGCAACAACAGCGTGAGCACGCCCAAAACAGGAATGCAAAGCAGTCCGCTAGCTGAAGACACACCA